GATGAGTAATTCACTCCTTGATTTGCTTAATAAAAGTCTCCTTTGAGATCGTTTTGACAGACATGTTTCTTGTGTATTATTTTCAATGTGTTTATTGCTAAGTTTAGTGTGGCGAAATAGAAGCGCAGCCGTAATACGCGTGCAGTGTATCTGGTTGCCATGACAACCTCATGCGCCTCCTGCTGCTGCTCTATGTAATCAGAGTGAATTTGTAGATTTTCTATAGCAAAACTAAAATGTGTTTAAAAGTGCGACTGACCAAATCGTCCGGCTCGGTTTGCCCCCCCCCTCGAACTCGAAGATATCTCTAATTTGACAGTTTGATTTTTCCTGAAATTGCAGAAATAAGCCGTAATTTTGTTTTATTTGTAACTGTTTGGTAGATACATTTATAATTTCTATTACATTACTACTACTACCGTTACTACTAATAAAACAGATCTCTGGGGGCCCCAAAAGTGTGTGGGCCCTTAGAATCGTCCTAACCCCCCCCTTGCGGTGCCCCTGGACAGGGTCTTCAGTACGAGCACAACTTACTGATGAGAAACATCAGCGGGTCAACACAACCTTTACTAGGACTAGTATACAGTACCTCTCTCTCTCTCTCTATCCAAAGCAGAACTCCCAAACACAGATTCATTAACCTTCACAAACGGCCCTGAAACAGATATAAACTGCACGGCGCAGGAATGCCATCACACACTCGGTGGCTCAGTGAGACTGTGCTTGTGCCATCTGCCCGTTAACATGCAAATAAAGCAATTAAAATTCACACCGCACTGCTGCCAACGCGACACGTCTATCCCATGTGTGAGTGTGTGTGTGTGTGAGTGTGAGTGTGAGTGTGTGTGTGTGGGTGGGTTGATGCAATATTATAAATCTGAAATTAATGAGTAACAGACATATACTGTAGTTTGTCGTCAGTGTAATTCATCAATGAAATCAATGCACGTGTGTTTTATATCCTTCAGTCCTACAGTTTGGAGAGAGTCTTACTGAGTGAGTGTTAGTAATGCATTCTCATCTGTGTTTACATATCTGTATTGTTATTGTTAGCTAAAACTATATTTGGTAATAGAAATAAAGCTGAAATAAAATTAAAATATATATATATATATATATATAACTAATATGGGGAAAAAAAATCTCATTTCAAAATTATCAAATAAAATAAAATATAAGTTGGAATAAAATAAAACAAATATTAGATGAAAATAAGAAATGTGACCTTGGCAACTAACTAAAACAAGTTGAGGTACTACAATTACTAATACTATAACTGAAATAAAATTTATTTAAAGCTATATAAAAATAAAAAAGTAATAAAAATGACAAAAGCACATTACAAAATTACTAAACAGATATAAAGCTGAAATAGAATAAAATATAAATATTGCATGAAAAACAAACCTAAATGAAAATAAGGAACGTTGCCTTGTTGAACTACTAAAATTATTAAAACTAAAACTAAAAACGGAAATAAAATTAAATTAAAGGTATAAAAAACAAAAACTAATAAAAATGACAAAAGCTCACAACAAAATTACTAAAACTTACATTGAAAAAATTCTAACATTAAAAATACAAGCTCATTTAAAACATGAATAAATAACTCAAATAGTATATAAATAATGCTACAATAACACTGTTGCATATTTGTATGTTTCTGACCCTCGTGACCTTCCTGCTGAAGCTCAAATGAAGACACACAGCAGATCAACTCACTGAACGAACTCTATTTCAGTCCCTACAGACTCATTTCATTCACATCAGATGAAATATGACGTCTATCCTGATGAGATCCAGACAGATGACAGAAACAGCTAATAAGAGCTCAGAGCATCAGAAAGCAGAAGAGCGGAGCTGCTTTATTAACACTCCTCCGTCCATCGGCTGTGTGACAGAGAGAAGAAAGTTCACATCCCATACATGTGCAAAGCGCGTTTCTGTCGTGAAATGAAAAAAAAATAAAATGAAAGAATAAAAATAAAAATAAAAAAAAGAATAAAATATAAAATAAAATAAAATATGCGAGTTTATATTGCAATTCTGACTTTATATCTCAATTCTGATGTTTTATCTTAGAACTGCGAGTTTATATTGCAATTCTGACTTTATATATCGCAATTCTGTTTTTTTTTTAGAATTGCGAGTTTTTATTGCAATTCTGAGTTTATATCTTGCAATTCAGACGTTTTTCTTAGAATTGTGAGTTTATATCACAGTTTCTAGCAAATTCTGACTTTATATATTGCAGTTCTATCTGAGTTTATATATTGCCATTCAGACGTTTTTCTTGGAATTGCGAGTTTATCTCGCAATTATGACTTTATATGTCGCAGTTCTGTCATTATTTTTAGAATTGCGAGTTTGTATCACAATTCTAAGTTTGTCTTGTTATATCTTGCAATTCTGGTGCTTTTTCTTATGTAGTATATACTGTATATATACATATATATGAATGTATGTAACTATGTATATATGTACACACATACAGTTTTGATATTTCACGATATGCCTACATCTTAAAAATAAAAGGTTTTTTAATAATAAATATCATAAAGTTAACTATTTTTATTGTCTTTTATTACACTGTCATCCACTTTCTCTCCTCTGTTTTGAAGCACATAATTAATCTGCTAGACTTCATATTCCACATCACTCTGATTCATCAGACGAAACAAGCCTCTTGACTGAATCCTAATGGAAAGAAAAGCGAGTTAACGACTCATGAAATCGATAAATATTTAAGATGCTGTCACTGTTGCAGCGTCCCGCGGCTCTCTGACCTGCCCTCTCTCTCGCCGGCTGTATTCGTTTATAGAGGCCATCTGTATGATTCACACATTAATAACCACTAGCAGCGCAGCAAATGATGCACAAATAGACAGTTTAATTTTCCAGTGAAAAATGAAAATGTTTCCGTCTGGAAATGACCCTGCTGAACATGATGCATCGCTGTGGCTCTGCCGGCAAGAAAAGAGCAAGTTTTGTGAAATATAGTTGTGGATTCACACCAAATGTCTCAGTCTCACATTGCCTTTGCATTCATATTTAATTCTTAAGAATATCAGAGAGAATCATTAGCGTCAGGGTCGCAGCTGCACGACCCTGAACACACTGCTGATGATTTAGCTGAGCTGATGTGTGATAGAGACGGGCTGCTGCTCAATCTGACGTCACAATCATCATTCTGCAGAGCGTCAGACGGACACAATGCATTCTGGGCTCTTTGTTGGTCTCTGGACGGGCAGAAGCGCCGCGGCACACAATGAAACCCAATTTCCTGACATAAACGATCCGTTATCGGGCTGCTCAGACAAAGCAGCTCATTTCAGTGTGAGAACACAGTGTTACACTAGAGGAGACACACGTTATCCAGAGAAGACCGACGACACGCTACACCAACCCTGTTAACCAAAACTAGTCAAGTCACCATTATTTCTATAGTGCTTTATACACTGCTGATTGTTTCAGAGCAGCTTCATTATTCCCTGGAATTAACCTGATTAAAATCACATATAAATATTAGATGAAAACATACAATTTCTAAAACGTAAATTAGAAATGTTGCATTGGCAACTGACGGAACACAAATAAAGTTTAAGCAGAATTACTAAAGTTACTAATTTAAAAAATGTTAAATAGAAACGGAGTTTAAAAAAAAGTAATAAAAATGACCAAAAAAAGCAAATAACAAAATAAATTAAACAAACTAAATTCTAAATAAAAATGGACAAAATTAAAATATTATCTAATTTAAAATATTATTACATTTATTTAAAGATAAATATTTAAAATATATTTATGAAAAAAAAGAAAATTAGAAATGTTGCATTGGTAACTGACAACTCACAAATAAGTTTCATTAGAATTACTAAAGTTACTAATTTAAAAAATGTTAAATAGAAACGGAGTTAAAAAAAAAGTAATAAAAATGACCAAAAAAAGCAAATAACAAAATTAATAAAACTTAAACTAAATTCAAAATAAAAATTGACAATATGAAAATAGCAAATTCAAAATATTATTAAATGTATTTAAAAATAAATATTTAAAATACAATTATAAAAAATGACTAATAAGCTAAATTTTATATATTAATAAATACTTATACTACTATACTACTATTATTATATATTATAGTACATTATATATATAATGATGTAATTATATAATATAATTAAAAAAATATATATATAAGAATTGAATTGATAATATAAAAATCTAAAATATTCCTATAAATAATTATTCTTAGAAAACAACAGAAAATGTATTTAAATATTAAAAAGGCTAATTACTATGATGTCATAATATTATAATAAAATAATAATAATAATGAATGTGTGATAGAGTGCAAGCTCCTCATGATGATATGATCACGCGTGTAATATCCTGTCACCCGTGTGTGTGCTGAACCTGAAATGAAATCAGTGCAGGAGTGTTTCTGACCTCGTGTGTTTTACACAGATCTGCTCACTTTACAGACATCTGAGAGTCTGCTGCAGTCAATCCAGTCAATTCAATCCAATCCTCTACAGTTCAGACTCTGTAGATTCTGCCAAAATAACGTGTGTTTGACTGCTCCAGTGCTGGTTTATACGAGCCTGACTGATATTAACACACACACTCCCTCATAATGTGAATGCACACGTGTGCTCAACCCAACCATACAGAGCTGACATCCATGAGCTGAGAGCTGAGTCCATGTCTCTTGTGTTTTGCCTCGTAATTAATACTGAGTGAATGCAGTTGAATCGTAACTCACCCGTGAGTAGACGACCTCCAGTGAGATGTTCTGCGGTGGAGCGCTGGGCACTGCGGACACACAAACACACACCACAATCATCAGGATCAACAATTATATAAAATATTAAATTAATTTAATTCAGCAAATTTCCATGGTAACATTTCTCATTTTCATTTAGTTTATCTTGATGTACTAAAACTAAAACAAAAAATGATTTAAAACTATAAAGACATATTTTACAAAAACACAATGAAAATTAAATAAACAGTAACTGAAATAAAATAAATTTTAAAATGTTAAATTTTTATTTTTGCTAGTTGCCAAGGCAAACTTACTAATTTTCATTCAGTTTATCTTGAAGTTCTAAAATAACAAAAAAATGTGTGAGTGTGAGTGAGTGTGCGTATGTGCGTGTGTGTGTGTGAGTGTGCGTATGTGTGTGTGTGTGTGTGTGTGTGTGAGTGTGCGCATGCATATGCGTGTGTGTGTGTGTGTGTGTGTGTGAATGTACACGTGTGTGTGTGTGAGTGTGCGCATGCATATGTGTATGTGTCTGCATGCATATGCCTGTGTGTGTGAGTGTGTGTGTGCATGCATATGCACGTGTGGGTGTTTTTGTATGCATGCATGTGTGAGTGTGTGTGCATGCATATATGTGTGTCTGCATGCTCATATGTGTGTGTGCGCGAGTGTGTGTGTCAGTGTGTGTGTGTGTGTGTGCATGCATATGCATGTATGGGTGTTTGTGTATGCATGCATGTGTAATTTTGTGAGTGTGTGCATGCATGTGTGAGTGTGTGTGTGTGCATGCATATGCATGTTCATGAGTGTTTATGTGTGCATGTGATGAGTGTTCATGAGTATTCATGTGATTTTGCGATCGACACCCCCCCCCATTCAATGTGATTTGCAATGTGTGTGCATGCATATGCGCTCGCGTGTTTGTGTGTGCATGCATACGCGCGCATACGTGTGAGTGCATGGATATGTGTGTGCGTGTGTGTGTAGAATCCCATCATACAATTTCATTAGCTTGACACGAGGGCCTTTAATTAAGCAGTGAAATGGGGAAGGAGCAGCAGCGGCTCATTTGAATCATTCTGCTGCGCGTCTCTAATGGAAGCTGACACGCAATAAATTTCCACAGCCTCTTAGAGCCGCGCTGAAGCTAATGCAAAGAGACGCTGCAGCCAATGAGAGAAAGACACGCGCGGGTTAAGCTGCTCGCACAGACATCTGGAGAAAATCACGCCAATATGAGACAAAGAATCAGAGGAGTGCATGATGGGAATGGATTGGAGCGAGTGGGAGAATGCAGCAGGTCTGAGCAGCATGTTAAGAAGCTTGCGTTCATCTCGTTGTCTCTCTTAAAGAGAGCTGCACCTCCCTATTTTACATCAGCTATAAACCAGTGCTCAGCTGATGGGATTTTTAACGACTGATGCTGATTTCAGCACTGCAGGCTTTACTAACATTACAGGACAGAGAAATTCACAAAATTAATTATTACATCAGGCTTATAAATTAAAATATAAAATAAAATAAAAAATATATAATATATTTTAGTGTATTCCTCATTTGTAAGTCACTTTAGACAAAAGCATCTCCTAAATGCTAAAATAAATTAATAAAATTAAAGAAAAAAAAATGTGTCCATCCACGTCTCTGCATCCCGTGACACATCTGAATCTGCAGGACGACATCGACAGGCTCCAATCAAACAATTCAAGCTGGGTGATGCTGATAAGAGCCGGCGATTGAATCTTTGAGAATTACTGCAAACATAATCCTGAGGTTAACACATAAATCAATAGCCTGATGTTAGACGGCTAATGAGAAGGGCTGCTGGGAAATATGACCCGCTTTATGATTCAAATACCGCTGCTGCATTGAGCTGCTGCTAAAACAGTTTGCCTTCGGGCTGTAGACAGGTGGCGAGAGACGAACGAACACGCCTTTAACATCAAAAAACTGAAGCTTCTTATTTTATTTTATTTTATCAAATTTTTTAAAAACATTTTATGTTATGCTATATGTTATTAATATTTTATTGAAATAGAGTTAACTCAACTCTAACTTAGTTAACTCATTAAATGAAACAACAAAATCAGCAAAACTTTAACTAAAATGGAAAATATAAAAATAAAACCTCATTTAAAATATTAATTAAAAAACTATAATAGTATATAAATAATCTGGGTAAAGTAAAATTAAAACTATAACCATAAAAAAACATTTTCATTACTTGAAATAAAAATGTAAAGAAATTTATTTCAGCTATTTTTTATTTTCATTTAGTTTAACTTGATGCACTAAAATAACTAGAACTGAAATAAAATTAATAAAAACAACTATATAGCCAATGAAAATAACAAAAACAAAGCAGAAAATATAAAAATACAAACTAATTCATTAAAAAAAAACGTAAAAAAAAAAAAACTCAGCAAGATTTTGTAACTCTACAACTACAAAATAAATAAAGATATCAATTTATGAAGGTGCTGTAAAATAATTATTGTATATTCTATTGTAATTCTACTATCTAGTGTTTTTATTTCTATTCATTTTTCATCTTTTGAAACCAAACTCACAAACTTGTGGCTCACAGAAAATTCAGTCTCCCTCTCGTGATTATGGCTGTGTGGGGATTAATGTGCGGCTGGTTAGCAGTAGAGTTGACTAGAGTTGACTAGTCTTACCGTCTGAGAGCGTGGTGATGAGCGTGTCTATGTCGGAGAGGCCGGGACCGTGTCGATTGACCGCCAGCACTTGTAACGAATACTCCGTGAACTTCTTCAGGCCCTCCATCCTATAGCTCTGACCCACGACCTCCACGTTCTGGAGAAACACCGTGGTCAGAAAACAACATGCTAATGAGCCTTCAGTAAGCCCCGCCTTACAGACATCACCGACCAATCACAGCACTCGGCCGTCAGCAGCTGTACCAATCCAGCATGCTTTTTGAAACAGGTCAGACTTCTGACATAATACTAACAAACAGACTTTTTATAATAGCATACTAACCAGGTTACTCTCACCTGCTCTTTTCCGGTGGAGGTCTCAGTCCACAGCAGCCGGTAGCTCTGGACCGGGCCGCTGGTGTGAGACGGAGGATCCCAGGACGCCTGGATGGACGACGCAGACGCAGCTTCTGCCCGCAGGTTCTCCACTGGACCAGGAACCAGAACTAATGAACGATCACATCACCGTCGACACATGAGAAACACAGGCTCTTCATGGGTCTGAATGCACTGCAGAAACGTCGTGTTTGTGCTGATTTCAATATTTGAGTGAGAGTTTATTTCTATTTTTATATTTCGTTTGATTTTGCTGATATCAGTATCCATTGTGTTCATCTATGCTTTGTTACAGTGAACACCTTTTGTGCTTGAAAACAAACAAACTTGGGGAAAAAAATAGTAAAAAAAAAATTAAATTAAACTAACTAAAATTAAAATAAAAACTAAAAATATTAAAATAAAAGCTAATTTAAACATTAATAAAATTAATTTACTTTTTAAAACTACTATAAAAAGTTTTAGTATTTTTTGTTGGGTGTTTTTGTAAATTTTTTAATATTTATTTTCTTTTAAATATGCCTATATAGTTTTTAAGTTTTAGCTTAGTTTTATTTATTTTAGAACTTCAACTTAAACTAGTTTTTTTTTTTTTTTTGATTAGTAATTTTTTAATGGTTTTATCTATGCTTTGTTACAGTGAACATCTTTTGCACTTAAAAACAAACAAACTTCGGGGAGAAACTATGAAATAATAAATAATAATAAATATTTATTAAAACATTTTAAATCTAAAATATCTATTATTTCACAGACAAAAAAAAACCCTAATAAAAAAAAACTATTTTTAAAACTATGATTTTTTAAAAACTACTATAAAAAGTTTTGTTTTTGTTTTTTTGTTGGGTGTTTTTATCATTTTTATTTTATATTTATTTTCTTTTAAATATGCCTATATAGTTTTTAAGTTGTAGCTTTTCTGTTTATTTATTTTTATTTATTTTTGAACTTCAACTAAAACTAAACAACAATGAGAAATTTTGACATTAAGTTTATGTTTTTAAAATTTTTAGTAAATTAATTTTTTTTTTGATGAGTGGTGATTTTTTAATGGTTTCAGTTAAGGATAATAATCCTGGATCAGACACTGGAACACATGAGATAACTGATCAGCAGCTCGCACAGAAACACGTCCGTATGCAGATGAGCTCTACATTTACATCATATTCATATTTCAGAGATGAAGTGTGTTTGTCTTTCAGGCTGTTTCTGAGGAAGAGCCGGAATCTGGATGGAAAAGGTCAGACGGCTCGACAGCACTCACTGTCCAATAGAAAGGTTAAAGAACTCCAGTGTGTGAGAGAGTGTGTGCGTGTGAGTGTGTGTGTGTGTGTGTG